TGTGTGTGTGTGTGTGTGTATAGCCACATAGTCTGAAAATTTTGAATTCTTCCTGTTAGTCTGGCCGCCATAGGAGAAATTTCCTCTTCTTCAATAGTTTTTCTTTGGATTGGCCCCTCTTCTCTTGTGATTTTGTGTGTTTTACTATTTTTTTGTTGAACTTGGACCACTTGTTATTTATTTATTTATAATTTTTATTGTGATCTGGGTGAAGGTTTACAGAGCAAATTCGTTTTCCATACAGCAGTTCATACACATTTTGTCTCATAACGTTGACTGCCTTTTTTTTTTTTTTAAACTTTAAATTTTGTATTCTGTTTTTTTTTTTGGGGGGAAATTTTTCTGATTAGGCACCCTGGTAATGCAGTAGCCAAACACTTGGCTGCCATCTGAAAGGTTGGGGCCTGAACCCACCAGCTGCTCCATGGAACAAAGATGCAACAGCCTACCTCCACAAAGACTCATAGCTCTGGGAACCCCACAGGACAGCTCGACTGCATCCCACATGGTCACTGTGAATCAAAATCAACCTAGTGGCAGTGGGCTTGATATCTTCTGGGAAACACTAAAGGGAACCTTTATCCTTAGGTTTTTTTCCAGTGCTGATTCAGGAGTTCTGGACACTTGATCTTTGGACGTCAATATGCATGCAATGGGGCTGGGTTTAGTTGGTCACAAATGCTGATATAAGTGGTGGGACTTGACTATCCTGTGGTGAAGGTGGGGGTTCTCTATGTCTTTCCCTCGTGGGTGGCCCTGCACAGGCTCTCCCAAGGTGTCCTACTGTCGGCCAAGAACCAACTGTTTCCCTGTGCCACCCCAACAGTCTGAAGTATTCTCCTCACACCCTGTTGCCCTTGCAGTTCCTCACAATCCTAGTGCCCATCTGTCTTAGGCCTTAGTGAGATTCAGCAGCACTCTCTCACACTGCCATGGTCTCCTTTTGCCACCTCCGAAATGCCTACAAATTCCCACAACCAATTTGCACTGCCCTAAAAAAAAAAAAAAAAAAAAAAAAAAAAGCTACACCTTCCTTAGATTAGCTCCCTTTCTGTGTTTCCTGTTTGGGATGTTACACAGCTCTGTCCCAAAATGGCTGCTATGAGTGAATGCTCCCGATGTTAGTAGTAAGGCTTCTGTACCTCCCTGCTCCTCCTCTCCCCCTCATCCGCACTCACCCTGAGTCCACTCTCCAGCACCTCAGTTGCTGTCTGCAGTTCTGAGATCTCAGTCTTTGCTTGTTTTTATTCATTGTTCAGTGAGTTAGTTGCTAGGAAGCAAATGGGGGTGTCCACTTACTTTGCCATCTTGTTTCAGCATCACTCCGTAGGATTTTCAGTGGCTGATTTTTTGGAAGTGGATCACCAGGTTTTTCTCCCAAGGAGCCTATTGTTGTTGTTATGTGCCATTGAGTTGGGCCAGACTCATAGCGACCCCTCCTTGGGTTTCTGAAGCGGTATCACTACAGAAGTAGATTGCCCAACCTTCCTTCCATGGAGTGGCTGGTGGTTTGAACCTCTAGCCTTCTGGTTAGCAGTCAAGTGCTTGAGGCAATATGCTACCAGAGCTCCTCTAATCACCAACCTTTCAGTCAGTAGCCAAGTGTTTAACTATTTGCACCACTGAGGGACTCCTATGGTACACAGAACCCACTGCTGTCAAGTTGATTCCAACTCATAGAGGCCAATAGGCATTCAATAACAGACAGTGGCCACAGATGCCTAAGATAAGGTCTTATTTTCCTGGTGAGCTGATTGGCAAGAATTATCATTTGGGCCTTATTTTCTTTAACAACTTTATTGAGATATAATTTTCATACCATAAAGGTCATTCATTAAAATTATACAATGCAGTGGTCTGTAATACAAGTACCCTGACTTATGACAGGGTTCGATTCTGATGACACCATTGTAAGTCAGTTCTGACATAAGTCAAATATCTTTTTCTTTTTAGCTTTCATTGTTATTGCCTTTTATCATCAGTATCCTTATCAATCCGATCTTTATTTGTCTTTGGGGGTTGGAAACATTACATATAAACATCAGCAAATTATGTGCTGCAACATGTATGTAGTATATATTACTAGCAATAAGATATTTTAAAAAGAAAGGTGGTCATAAGTGCAATTCATCATTACTTGAATACATTGTAAGTTGGGGACTACTTGTGTATTCATAGGGTTGTGCAACCATCACAACAATCTAATTTTAGAACAGTTTCATTATCCCAGGTGGAAACGTTATACCCATTAGCAGTCACTCCCCATTCTATACATTTCTTCCCTGCCCCAGCCCTAGACAACCACTAATCTACTTTGTTTCTATTCTGGACATTTCATATGAAAGGAATCATACAATATCTTATCTTTTGTGACTGGAAAGGGTCACTCAGTCATGTTGTAGCATGAATCAGTTCTTCATTCCTTTTTATTGCCAAGTAGTATTCCATTGTATTGATATACTATTGCTCACTATTTAACCATATGAGTGACCCACATAGCTATGCCCCTGCTTCTTACCTTATGTGGGAGGACCCTGACCAGGACATATAGAGCAAAATGAGGAAAAGAAGCACCACAAAGGCAGCCAGGCTCACCCAAAAGACAATGGCAATCAAATCTGCAGGAGGAAGAGATAAAAAAATTAGTGTTAGCTTGATGCCAGTAAACCAGCAGTGAGGGAAAAAAGAAACCTTCAAGTATTGCAGAGATCCCTGGGTGGTGCAAACAGTTTGCATGCTATTAAGCAAGCTAAAGGTAGGAGCTCTGGTGGCATAGTGCCAAAGGCATTTGACTGCTAACCAGAAAGCTGGTGGTTCAAATCCTCCAGCCACTCCTTGGAAGGAAGGTTGAGCAACCTATTTCCGTAGAGATAGATACTGCCTTAGAAACCAAGGAGGGGTTGGTATGAGTGGAATCCAACTTGACGGCAGAGAGTTTGATTTTGGTTTAAGCTAAAGGTTGATGGTTTGAACCCACATAGCAATATCTCATAATGGAGGCCTGGAAATCTCCTTCTGTAGAGATTACAGCCAAGAAAGCCCTATGGAGCAATTCTGTTCTGTGACTCATGGGGTTGCTGTGAGTTGGGGACCGATTTGACAGCAGCATGTCATTATTAAGTAATGAAACAGGGTCCTCAGTGTAGCTGCTCTCTTCTTCCTGCTTCTGAACTGTTAATGTTGGAAAGATATCCCATTAACAAAAACCTTGGGAAAAGCCAAAGAAGCAAGGAATGTGTTCCCCCTGCCCCCATCCCCCTGTCCCAGGCAACTAACCACAGGGCCAGTTTAGGTTGATTTTCTGTTTAATGAAAAACAGTAAAGGAAATTGTGGGGACCCATGGATCTGCTTTTTCACCTGCTTCTGTTGTTCAGAGCAATGATCCTGAGCTCCATCATGGCTCACTGCCAGAGGACCTCTTTTTCTGCTCTTCTCCCTACCAAGACGTGTTCCAGTAGCCAATGCCTTTATTCCTTGGACCCTTTCTGGGGTCTTGAAGCAAGGACTATGTCTTAGACATCTCAGTATCACCATCTCCCAGCACTGGAGATCTTAGGAAGGTCTCAGAAGATGTTTGATGTATAGATCAAGAAATGAACAAGGGAATGAATGAATGGGATGTTAGAGATGTGTGAGTCATTTATACAGAGAAGGAGGTTGATACCCTGAGGGTAAATAATGAAACTTAAGCAAAGAGTTAAGCAGCGGCAAGGATCCAGGTAAGGCTGGGGCCCCAGGCCATGCCTCCAAGTGGCAGGAAAGAGGCAGGGATCCATGTAAGGGGAGAGTGGAGATGATGGAGAGGTTTTGAACAGCTAAGGGACACAAACTTGTCTGTCAGTTTGTCCTACTGTGGTGGCTTGTGTGTTGCTGTGAGACTTGAGGCTGTGCACCAGTGTTTAAAACCCAGCAGGTTTGCACATGGTGCACAGGTTTCAACAGCTTACAGACTGAGACAGACTAGGAAGAAGGAGGAGGCCATCCACTTCTCAAAGAATTGGCCAGGGAAAACCTTATGAATAGCAGAGAAACACTGT